TGCCGCTTCAGGGATTATGGAGGTCAGGGTGCCATCATGGAGTCCAAAGGGAGCTGAGTTGAATGACACCAAGAGCGAAGAAATCGGAGTTATGGTTGATTTTATATCAATTTCCAAAGGTTTTCTATGCTTTCTGACCCATTCCGTATTGGCGATCAAAAGCGGAAACAAGATGGACACATTGTAGCAAGAATGGATACATTGTAACAAGATTTGGACAGTTTTACGAGTTCTCTGGTTTCGGATCCATTGTTCTCACAGTGGGGGGCCGTCAGCAGCTTGTCAGGAATGAAATGAGGCGTGCAGTAGCTCCCTGAGCTAGCTTCTGCAGGGCGAATGCATGGCTGTGATTGGCTAAAGCGCAGCTCAGTATAGTGAATGGGGATACATTATGATGCGGTCTACTCCCATAAGAAATAGGGCGAGAGGAAGGCATAAGAAAGACGGGGCTTATTTCGCCCGTATAGAAATGGGAAAGAGAGCCTTTTATTAACAAGGCAGGGGTATAGTGTGGTGCTTGTGCAACAGTGTGGGGGCTGAGGGTTCTAGGCAGAGTTGGGCACTGTCGAGGTCATCGCCTCGGGCCCCTTCAGAAAGCAATGGAGGGGAAGGTGGGTGCCCCCCCTTTCCTCCTTCCGTATCAATCCGCTGAATACAGCTTTGTTAGTATATATTTCCCCAACTGTCTTTTTATCAGCGCAGCTTCCTCAGACTCCGTTCCAATCCGGGATGTTGTCCAAGTCTGATCTGAAGTTTTAATGGCGCAGCTACTCCCAATCATTAATTGTCCAAACCTTCTTTTTGAGCTTTATTGAACCAGTACCTTCCAAGTTAAATTGTTAAGCAGACCTTGTGTTTTAATGTTGTAACTTGCACTGGGTGAAGGGCGGGCTGGTTGGCATCCATCTGTCTCAGGAAACAATGGAGGTGTGCGCCTTTGGGGGTGAGGTCAAGCTGTTGGAAGGTTGCAGCTCTTGCTATGGCTGTAGAGACCCATGCAGGAGAGACATGTTTGGTTGCAGCAGGGGCAGAGGAAGGCGTCCAGTTGTGCAGATGCACCAGGGCATTTCTTCTCGCTGCTCTCCTCCCAGCCGCCATTCCTCCTCTGCTCACTGCTGTGGATGCACGACCTGTCTTGTCTCCAGGCGTCTGCAAGAGATTCCCACAGAGATGTTGCCAGCAGACATCTTTGTAGCACAGAGTTGGTCTGTCAATAACCATACATTGTTGCTACTACTGATGATGATGGCGACACTGGATAATTCCTTCTGTTTCCTATGTTCAGGTGTGGGTGGATGTACCTTGGCTAATGTTGCCAAAATGGTGCCACCCATGAACCAGAGGCAGGAAGCAGCCGTGGGAACCGAGGTGAGCTGCCATTGACAGGTAACAAATGCAATCCAGAGTCATTCCCTTTGTCTCCAGTGAATCCACTCAATTCAGTGGCTAACCAGGATTCCCATTCATTTCCCTTTCGGTCTTCCTTGATTTATTCCAAGCCACTGGATTTCCAAAAGAACGGAGTAGATTAATTCATGGGGATCTATCAATGGTTCCTTTAGGAAGGAGAAATGGAGCCTCCACCTTCAGAACCAGAATATCTGATGAAAGCCAGATTTGGGGGTGGGGGTGGTGAACAATAGAGGAAGACCGTAGCCCTGCAGGTAACATGGTGGCCGGCTATGGCCCCTTGTGAGTTTATAGCTTGTAATATTATCTGCATTTTTCTGCGCAGGTTTCAGACCTCAGCAGTGATATGAGAAGAGGGTAATCTGCCCTGAATCAGTCTAGGGCTAAGACAAGGGCTTGATGTGATGGAATTGCTACCTGCTCATCTTGAGTAATAGAATATTTTAGGTAATGATATAACAAGGACAGGAAACAAAGTGAAATGTAAAGATGTAAAGTTTGATTTTTTAAGCCATCAGACGGGAGGAAGTGTCATGTGACCAAGACCCCTGAGAGCCGAAGCCGCAAGGCAGGCTAGGAAGTGCTGGGGCTGCCCAGTCCTTGGGGCCGAGTCAAGTCATCCAGGCCTGACTGCCAACTGGGGAGTCACTCTGAGTCATGGGACTTGGCAGCCATTTTCTCACTCCTTCCCCTTTGAAGTGGCCGCCATTTTGTATATCTGTTCTCTGTAAGATGTCAGTCAGTCAGTGGCCTCAGTTCTGAGCAGTATGGACTCTCAGTCAGACAGTTTGGAAGAAGTTGATTTTTACTCAGTAAAGCTCTTCTTCTCTAAAACTCTGCATTGTTAATTTACGCTGTGCTTGGCGTCAGTTGAGCCAAAGAGATAAAACAAGAGGGTATGACGTTATGTAATGTGATTGTAAAACAAATAAAAATCATATATATATATGAATGACTAGGGCTTGATGTGTTGTAAACAAAATCTGCCCTTTTCCCCTTATGGGGTATCCAAGAGCCCATAGAGAGTCCTTACGTGGGTTCCCTATTGGTAGGAGAAAAGAACAGAGGCCAAGCAGAGAAGATTGAGACGCAAAGCAGTTCGTAAGCCTGATCTTGATTGATCTGTTGCAACAGGAAAGGAGGAGGACCCAGAACCAAGGTATAGACATTTCAAATTCCCTGCCCTGGAGCTCCAGACCACCCCTCCATACATCATACCTACATCACAGAAAAGGTGGTCTACAACAGAAATTTGATTGTTGTTGTTTTCCCTGAGCCTGGTCTTGGCTGGGGAGGGCAGGGTATAAATAAATTAATTAATAATAATAATAATAATAATAATAATAATAATAATAATAATAATAATATCATCATCTGATGGCCTTTCCTGGTAGTCTGGCCATTCCTTTGAGATGGTGATTACCCAATTCCTGAGACAATGGGAAGGTTCCCTCACCCCCTCCCTCCTTGCAGAGAAAACATTTGGTCAGCTGGGGAGTCAAAATGGTTTCAGGACTGTCTTCCTGTGCTGCTCCAGATGTGTGCTCCACACATCTATGTACGTGCTTGGCTGGTACATTTATGAACATTTATTATATATATAAGACCTTAATTTTTTTATTACAGATGTGACCCTGGAGGATTTACTAACAGGGTTTAGGTCCCCCCCCAGTAAATGATGTAGAATAGGGGGGTTTTCTGCATGAGGTTCTTGCAGATCCATTGCAGAGTCAGATTGTTGGGGGGCACAAAGCCAACCCCCACTCCAGACCCTACATGGCTGCCTCGAAGGATCCCATAGGCCGTTTCTGCTGCTGCGGATTCCTCATGGTGCACCAGTGAGTAATGACGGCCACATGCTGAAATGTGCAAGTATCACGAATCCCTTCCTGGTTTTTAGGAGGGGTGAAGATCATCAAGGGCAAAGCTAGTTGCTATGAGCACCAAGCGGGGGGGGGGGGGGGGGGCTCGTCTTTTGCACAGGGCCTGGGAGGGGATTGATTCCTGGGGACTCTGACACTAACTGATGCTCAGTTTCCAGCAATTCTACAGTCACCTTGGAGGCACATAACATCATCATTAAAGAAACCCCTTTAGCAAGTGTTTGGCATTTAGGCTCCCCCTCCTGCTAATAAAGGGTTAATTCCAACTTGCTCAGTGTGATTTATTGCTGGCTTGCTCCTGTCAATCCAGCAGGCTCTTGTGTTGCATCTAGGCTTGGTGCAACGTAAGAACAGCCTGCTGGAGAAGTCAGAGAGCAGAGCAGCAGGGGGCACCAGAGCCCAGAGAGAGGCAGAGGAAGACGGATCTTCCTTTGTTGCCCAGCTGAGTTCTAGGACGGTTACAGAGGAGGAGGAAGAGGAGGAAGCCAGAGGGGATTTTGCAATGCAGTTCTCTAGCCCTGTAATGTGTCCCCAGATGTACACACCAGGGTATAAAATGCATGCACTTATGAAAGTGACATACAAAAGTGCCTTATAGATGAGGAAATTGCTCGGGGGGAGGGGAGTACACCAGGCAAAATTTCATACAAAAATGTGTGTTTTAGGAGAAAGTTGCACTAAAATGAGGACCATTTGTTTTAAAAAATCAGAAGCTGACATGGAAATGTGAAGAACTGAATTTTGCGTTGCAGACAGCAGGGAATGAGAAAGTGAGAGAAATTGAAACTGACCGTTTTGCCCCTGCCTAACGATTCCCCACCCTGGAAAACCGCCATTTGCTCTTACTCAAAGCAGACACTTTCGTTTCTTTATCACATTGATTTATTCATTCCTGCCTCCTTTCCAGCTGGAGGCCTGTTCAAAGCAGCTAACCAAGTTTTAAAACAGTGAGCGTTGAGTCCAGCTAAGTTCCAGGAACACAAGAAGTTGCCTTTATCTCATCATCTACTCCCATTCACATAAGCTCTTACTAAACAGGTTTGTGTTTAAATCAGGCCCCTTTCATCCAGAACCATGAGGACTGGAATCCTTATTTTTAAGAAGAAGTGGCAATAATGCACCAAAATCCATTACATTAGGCAAAATTGTGGCAGTGATATCTCTGTTTTAAAACAACTTAGGTAAATGTAATTAAATAGACATTTGATGTTTCTGTGAATACTGACGGTTGTTTCTTGGGTAAATAAGGGGAAGCAAGAAAACATTTGTCCCCACCCCCCCACCCCAAAATATGGAGAACTGACTTGAAATAGGAAGAAATGAGAAATTGACATTGCCAGGTTCACCTATGCCTGCTCTCGAGTAGACATGCCTAAGATTGTGCTGCGAGGTGTCAGAGGTTTTGGGAATGGTGGGTCGGTGGGACAAGCAAGGGGGAGGCAGGGTGTCAGAAGGATGACAGAAGTTTGCAATGAAGTTTGTTTATTTCAGGAAACAATACAGCAACAGTAAGCACTAGCGGTACAGAAGAAGGCAGAGGTTTCTCTGGGGAAAGCCGGGATCGATCCACAGGAGGAGGAGTTGCCTGTGCATCTGACTTCACAATGACCAAGCGCGTCTCTCGTATCTGACTCTCTCTAGCAAGGGCAGGAAGAATCCAGCCGGGAACAAGAAGCTGCTGGCTGCTTTTCTCCTTGCTGGCCTCACTCTTCCTTCATTGTCTCTTTGATCCAAGGGAGATAGGCGGCGACACGCGTGTAAATTGATGGCGGGATTTGGAAGCCATAGGAGACGATTCCATGGGCCACTCCACTGCAGACCAGGGCACTCCCGGAATCCCCCTGAGCAGGAATTGTGGGGTTGGAGAGGGGAGAGAGAAACTTATTTCACATTATTATTCACCATTGCATTTCTATCCCGCCTTTCCTCCAAGGAGTTCCAGGCAGCTGACGCAACACTTCCCTCACAACCACCCTGCGAGGTAGGCTGGGCTGAGAGATGGAGTGACTGTCCCAAAGTCACCCAGTGAGTTTCATGGGCTGCTGCCAGCAACTCCTGGCTGGTTGCTCAGGAAAGTACAAAGACAAGCGAGTGTTTCTTACCAACCGCTTTTTATCCAGTATTTACAGAGAGGGCTACAGAACCCAGCCTCTTGGATAATGGCGTTGTCCCGAGTGAATCTCCACCCCCCCCATGTCCTCATTCGTCTCTCCCATGGGTGCTGCTAAGGGCCCTCTGTCTTTGAGCTCTTTGCTCTCCTACTTTCAAGGCTTGCCGGGTTCTGGGAGAGGGGGGTCTGGAATGCTTTCTAAAGACACGGTGTCCATCAGCTGTCGCCCCCCCCCCCGGTGCTTCCTCCTCCTCTCCCATTATTTCTCAACTTTCCCCCGTCATCCGCCTCTGAGCTGTGACCTCCCTCAAACCCCTGATGTGACTCTAAACAGTCTTCCTTTTCCTCCTCCCTGGAAGGGTCAAGCTGGGCAGGGGGTCTCCACCATTCCTCCTCTGCCCACTCCCGGACAGCAAGTGGGGATTTGAGCCCTGGTCTCTTGGGTCCCAGTCTGAACTGAAGTCTCCAGGTGTGCCTGCCTATCCCACTCAGGTGAGGGCTTGAATATCTGGGTGGACGAGAGCACTGGTAGATGATAGATAGATATAGATAGATAGATAGATAGATAGATAGATAGATAGATAGATAGATAGATAGATATAGATAGATGATAGATAGATGATAGATAGATAGATAGATAGATAGATAGATAGATAGATAGATAGATGATAGATAGATAGATAGATAGATAGATAGATAGATAGATAGATAGATGGCTTGCAAGCTTCATCCCGGCAGAAGCACCTGCAGATTATTGCATAGACCAGTGGTGGCCAAACTTGGCCCTCCAGCTATTTTTGGACTACAACTCCCATCACCCCTAGCTCACAGGACCAGTGGTCATGGATAATGGGAAATGTAGTCCCAAAACAGCTGGAGGGCCAAGTTTGGCCACCACTGTCATAGACTCTTGGGAGGGCATGGCCTCCTCCATTCCCTCTCCCCCTCTCCCAATTAACCTCCATCAATGCCAGTAGACACCACCACAAGCACAATCCTGCCTCCCCCTGCAGAAAAGGAAGTTTGATGGGGGTAGAATCAAACAGTTGTGGATTTAGCAGTTCTGGGTGGGGGGGGGAGCGGGGAGGAAGCTGCAGAAAGATAGATCTGCTTCTGCAGGACTGAAACCACTCACATTTAGAGCTCAGTGAATGCACAATTAAAGCACAGGCTTCTTCCAGTGAACCCTGGGACCTGTTGTGCACCCTTCTCAGACCTCTGATTTCCAACCCCCTCCACAAACTACAGTTCCCAGGTTTCTGTGGGGGAAGTTGTGTGCATGTGACTGATAATCTGTCATGCAAGAACAACACAATCCGTTTTAAAACGTTGGCATAAAAGTCTTCTGAAAGATCACAGAAGGATGCAAAGTGGAGACATTTTTAGAGTTGGGGCATTTTTTGTGTGAATTGCAAGAAGCAGAAAAACCACTAACGTGGATTCATCCTTGCTCTTCGCCTTGCCCACAACAGGCAATTGCACCCTATTTCTGTTTAAATCACCACAGGGATCGCCCAAGTGGCACCCATGGGTGCAATAGTACTCTTCCGGTCCTCCCGGGGTCTCTGGGTTCTCTCCCCACCCCTTAGTGCTGCCTTTTCCTCCCTTGAGAAGTATACAGAGCTGAAAGGGGGCAAGAGGGGCTCCTTCCCCACTTCCTCTTTCAACTCTGTGGACTTTGCAAGGCTCAGATGAATTCCACTGGAAGGGACCAGAGGTGGCGGCACCAACAGCCCTCACTCAAAGATACAAAGCAGCCCAAGGGCCTAAAAAAAAAGATGTTGGCAGCCCCAAAACTTTTAGTAAATATTTCTAAAAATTGCATCTCTGCATATGAATTAGCACGTGCAATTTTGTAAAATGCATGGGCTTTTGTTCTGCATTCTCCTTGCTTTTGACAATGACATGTGGGCTTACGTTGCTGACGTCGCAGAGCTTGGCCCGGCTGCCGGCGCACACCATCCTGTCAGTGAGTTCCGGAATGAACTGGAGGCACTTCCGGCGGCCAAGGGCGGTGACATTGGTCTCAAAAAGTTTGGAGCTGGCTTCGTATCTCGCATCAATGCGGCCCCATCCAGCCACAAAACATTCTGTGTCTTTGAGGAGGTCGTTTTCGTTTTCCGGTAATGGGATGACTTGGACGTACTTGTTGATCTTGGCTTCACGGTCGAGCTTCAGGGGAGGAAGGAGGAGAAGAGGATGGTCTGAAATCGGCGTGTTTCCCGAGAGTCATGAGACATCACAGAGAGGGGACTGATAGCTCAGGGTGGGGGAGAAACTTTATCCACTGAACGTTTAACGTTAATTTAATCTGTGCTTTTGGAAATAATGGGTAGTATCTAGCTAAGTTCTAGATTGATAGATTTAAGTAAGTCATGTCCTTTAATTTTGTGACGATTTGCTAGGCAAAAACCAAGTGGCTGGTGCCAATTTGCCAAGTGCAAAAATTCCTACCAGGCCCCTCAACGACGACCAACTGAGGTCCATAGCAAGGTCAAGGAATGAAAACCTTATAGGGTGGGAGGGTGGGAAACAGGAACAGCTGGCAGTCGGGGAAAGAGGGAGATCCCCAGCTGCGTCCTGGCTTAAGTAGGGCAGGCCACGCCCCCAGAGCCAGCCAATTGGCTGGCCAGGGGATGACGCGGCTGGGAATCCCCCCAATCACTCCAGCCGCCGCGCACGTGGTGGGGCCTTGAAGCCCCCAACTCCACCTCCTTTTAGGGCGGAAGGGGCTCTGTTCAACAAGGGAACCGGAGAAAGTGTTGGGCGGGGCAGGGGTGGGGCGGGGGAGCTTAAACATAGTTTGGATAGCAGAGACTCTTTAGCTATGACTCTTGCTTTTCAGGGGGCTGGACTGAGTGACTTTTGGGGTGAGGCCTCCTATGATCCTATGAAAACAGCAAAACAGGAGTGCATTCTATTAGGGGGAAATTGGGTTAGGGAAATGTGCATATTAACTGCATTTGCACACAACTGCTGGTGAGTTTTCAAGAGAGTGTTTTAAAAAGATGCAAGTTGATATAGAAATGTGGAGAATAGGAAAATAAGATATGGGGAGGAACTAAGAGGGACAGATTGCCTCCCTGCCGGCAACATGCCTTTGTTGTGATTTTGGAGGTTTTTGTTTGTTTTCACTGATCAGATAAAATGGGGGGTGGGGTGGAATTTTGATGGAAATGTCCTCCGATAGACACTTTACCTGAGTACGTGCCTTTCTGTAGACACAACTAGACTGGAGAAATACATTGCTGGTTTCAGAGATGTGCTGATTTTGAAAAGGTGGCTGTGTTTGGGTTTATGTATTATTCCAAAATTGCCAACTGGTATGTGTGCCTCGCCAGTGGACCTTCGGCTTACGTTACCCTCAGGTAACGTAAACTGCAGGTTGCGAAAGCGGCAAACCTGGAAGTGCTACTCCCTGCGCGCATGTGCAGAAGTGTTCTCTCCGGTTGTGAAAACTTCGGGATACGGCCGGACCTCTGGAACAGATCCTGTTCGCAACCAGAGGTACCACTCTAAATACTAAATTTATTGAATTTATTCCCCACCCCTTGCAAGTAGTGGGCTGCATAGAATATCAACCTACTACCTATTTGACTTGACTTGTCATCTTACTTTTCTGTATGTGGATACAGAACGCTATTTGCAACCTGAAATTTGATAGTTCCAAAAATAATGACATATGCATTTCGGGCAAAAGCACAAGTTGACAATCTTTCTCCATACCTTTAACAGAAGGATGTCGTTGAAGGGGGTTCCAGCAACCACCATATAATCCGGATGCTGATGGTAACTTTTGACTCCAAACACCTGCTGGGTGCTTTCGACGGCCTTCAGGTCATGAGCCCCCAGAATGACGGAGATATCTCTTTGAACAAGAAGAGAATCAACAGAAAGCCACAGCCGATTACCCCCCCCCCCCGGCTTCCATATGTAATCACATTCACCTTAGCATTTCTCCATCACCCTATTTACCTTCTTTTTATGCTTAGAGAAATTAACTTTAGTATTTGTAAACCGGTATCAAAAATCAACATTACAAAATATTTTAAATCAAAGCTGCAAACATTTTCAAATCTTTACAATGTTCTTTCATGTACTGTATACCGTACATATAACGGTGTTTCTGTGCGCTGCTCTGGTTCGCCAGAAGCGGCTTAGTCACATGACCCGGAAGCTGTCTGCGGACAAACGCCGGCTCCCTCAACCTATAGAGCGAGATGAGCGCACAACCCCAGAGTCAGTCACGACTGGACCTAATGGTCAGGGGTCCCTTTACCTTTATACAGCACATACAGTACATTTTTAATTATTTCTATGCAATTTTACACACGTTCTACTTACCCAGTCTAAAAACCTTTTCAATTCCAAAGTCAACTTTTTAGCCTCCCCTCATTTTTGGAAGCTGAAAGTCTAAAAATTCAAACCCACTCTGCGTTACCACGACTCACCCATTGCAGTGGGCTGCAGTCAGGACCCACTGAGGGGCCACGAGGAATCCCCCGCACATGAAACCTCTGCCTCCTTTCAGAGCTGCCACGTACGTCCTTGTATGTGGCTTCGATTCACCACCCCCGACGATCTTGCTGCGGAGGCTGCCTGGAAGAGAGAGACCTGAGTCACCGATTCCACCACACCGTGAAATGGCGTCAATCTCGGAACCGTCAAGGTAGGACTTGGGGGAGAAGGAGTCTTGTCAGGTGGACTTGTCAGCTTGTCTATCCAGCATATCTTTTAAGAATCTTAGCCATCCCAATTGGTGACCCTCACCATCTCTAGTGGGAGGGAGTTCCATAGTTTTAACTATGTGCTGAGTGAAGAAGCACTTTCTTTTATCTGCCCCAAATTCCTCAGCATTTGCCTTTATTGGATGTCCACAATCTCTAGAGTTACGAGACACCGGGGGCGGCGGCGGGGGGGGGGGACCTTTCTCTACTGTCGTTCTGCTTGCCATGTGCCATTTTAAACACCTCCATCCTTTTCTGTAATGCTGCAACCTTTCCTCACAGGGCAATTGCTTCAACCCAATGATCATAGAATTGCAGAATCCTAGAGCGGGCAGTGACCCCCAGGGCAATGCAGGAATCTCTACGGAGGCATCCCTGACAGATCATCCTCTGCTTAAAAACCTCCCGTGGAGGAGAGCCCACCGCCTTCCGAGGGAGACTGCTCTGGCCATCAGATTGGATGAAGTCGCTACTCACCGCCCGTGTCCACGTGGGCAGACAAAAGGGCAAAGAGGAGGAAGCAGAATCTCCCCGGCTGCTCCATCGTTCTGCCTCTGAAGTTGAAGGAAGGGACCTGGCTCTCTTCATGTGGCATCATGTTTTATAGACTGGCTACCGGCAGCTGGAAACGGTTTTGCATGACCACCTAATCTTCCTCTTCCTTTATCTGTGATCTGGATCCGAAAATCGTTGGTACAAGAGGCTTACTTCTTGGAAGGGAAGCGCTGAGCAAGATAATAGAGCTGGGCTGGGGTCGCGTGTGGCCCTTGTGACTCTCCCCTGGCCCTGCCTAACACCCTCCGTCAGTCTTTTGGCTAAACATGGGCCCTTCCTTGCCCGGGTGGAGGATGAAGCGGGTGAAACTTTTTTCAAAGAGGGCCAGATTGGATGAAGTGAACATGCGTGAGGGCCGACCAAAGAGCTTTTTTTAGGATTGAGGTGTTTGGGCTTTTATTGGGATTTCCCCCCAAAGTTGTCCCCTGGTCTAGGAACTACCCTACTGAGCAAAAGTAGAATTTGCATTTGTTGCTCCACCCACTTTTGCCTCAGACCCCACCCACCACTGGGATGTGGCCCTCGGAAGGCTGCCAGGACATTCGCAGGGAAACCGAAATGCTTGTTTACAAAGCTATTGTACTACCAACCTTACTGTACGCTTCTAAAACATGGACCACTTATAAACACCATCTCCAACTCTTTGAAAGATTCCATCAACAGTGTCTCCGAAAAATTGTACACATCACTTGGGAAAACAGGCGAACTAATATCAGTGTACTGGAAGAAGCAAAGATCACCAGTGTTGAAGCAATGATTCTTCAACATCAACTTAATTGGACTGTTCATGTTCTGCGGATGCCTGATGATTGTCTTCCAAAGCAAATACAGTGGTGCCTCGCAAGACGAAATTAATTCGTTCCGCAAGTCTCTTCGTCTTGCGAGTTTTTCGTCTTGCGATGCACGGTTTCCCATAGGAATGCATTGAAAATCAATTAATGCGTTCCTATGGAAACCGCCTTCAGACCAGGTCCGGGGACAGTCTGTCCCCTGACCTCTTCTGAAGGCTGGGGGGGGGGGAACAAGGGCTTTTCTTCCCACCCCCAGTATTTTAAAAAACCCCGGGACAGCGGAGGACTTCTCCGCTGTCCGGGGCGATTTAAAAGCCCCTGGGAAGGCAGGCAGGGGGGACAAAGACTTTTGCCCCCCGCCGGCCTTCAGAAGGTGTTCCCGCCCCGCCGCCCGGCTTCGGAGGAGCCTTCCAAAGCCGGGCGGCGGGTGGAGGTGTTCCTGCCCCGCCGCCCGGCTTCAGAGCATCGTTCCGAAGCCGGGCGACGGGTGGAGGTGTTCCCGCCCCGCCGCCCGGCTTCGGAGCATTGTTCTGAAGCCGGGCGGCGGGGGGAGGTGTTCCCGCCCCGCCGCCCGGCTTCGGAGCATCTTTCCGAAGCCGGGCGACGGGTGGAGGTGTTCCCACCCCGCCGCCCGGCTTCGGAGCATTGTTCTGAAGCCGGGCGGCGGGGGGAGGTGTTCCCGCCCCGCCGCCCGGCTTCGGAGCATCTTTCCGAAGCCGGGCGACGGGTGGAGGTGTTCCCGCCCCGCCGCCCGGCTTCGGAGCATTGTTCTGAAGCCGGGCGGCGGGGGGAGGTGTTCCCGCCCCGCCGCCCGGCTTCGGAGCATTGTTCTGAAGCCGGGCGGCGGGGGGAGGTGTTCCCTCCCCGCCGCCCGGCTTCGGAGGAGCCTTCCGAAGCCCGGCGGCGGGTGGAGGTGTTCCCGCCCCACCGCCAGGCTTTGGAGGAGGTCCGAGGACAGTGGGGAAGACGCGCTGCGCTTCCCCGCTGTCCCGGAGATTTCCCTATGGGCTGTCGTCTTGCGAAGCAAGCCCATAGGGAAATTCGTTTTGCGAAGCGCCTCCAAAACGGAAAACCCTTTCGTCTAGCGGGTTTTCCGTCTTGCGAGGCGTTCGTCTTGCGGGGCACCACTGTACTCTATTCCGAACTTAAAAATGGAAAGTGCAATGCTGGTGGTCAACAAAAGAGGTTAAAAGACTGTCTCAAGGCAAATCTTTAAAAATGTAGCATAAACACCAACAATTGAGAAACACTGGCCTGTGAACGCTCCAGTTGGAGAATAGCCTTTCCCAAAGGTATCATGGGCTTTGAAGACACTCAAACTCAGGACAAAAGGGAGAAACAGGCTAAGAGGAAGGCACGCTTGGCAATGCCCCCACTGTGGAAGGACATGTGGATCCAGAATTGGCCTCCACAGTCACTTACGGACTCATTGTTAAAACCGTGTTTATGGAAGACAATCTTACTCAGTTACGAGGGATTGCCTAGGAAGGGGCCTTGTTCTGAGTCACAGCGCTGGCCCACCGAGCCTTGTGTTGCTGACCCTGACTGACAGGGGACCTTCCCAGTCCCAACTGGAGATGCCACTGCATGTTGAACCTGGGATGTTCTGCATGCAGTTGCTTCTAGAGCTCTAGGCACCTGTGCACACCAGTCTAGTGTCTAGGCACCTATTCCCGGGTCTGTGCTCAAGGAACAGCTGCAGCCACAGTGGACCACTCTCCCTCCCCCTGGAGACTGTGCCTGCATGGAAACCGCCTCTGTTCTCCCCTCTTCAGTCCCCTCCTGGTTCAGGGGGACAGTGGTACAGGAGAGGGTTGAGAAGCCCCTGGCCCTTCACTCGCCTGACCTGCCTCTTCCTCCAACCTTCTTCCTCTGTTCCACCCTCCAGCTTTGAAGCTTCTGCCGCCTTGCTCCCTGGCAAACCACAGTGCCCCACAAACCACTGCCTGCCTCTCCTGAGCCAGACTCTAGCCCCACTCCCCCCCCCCCCCAGGGCACACTTGTTGGCATCCTGCCAGTTTGTGACAGTGCTTCACCATTGCACTTTGGCTAGGGGTGGAAGGATCTGTCCATTTCTGTTCCCTTGGTTTCTCATTTTTCCATGTTGAATAATGTGACTTGCCCAGGAAACCTGCAACCCTCCAGATAGGCTCCAGTTCTGACTCCTGTCACTCTTGAACGTTGGCCACGTTAGCCGGGGCGCAAGAATCTCACCGCATCTGGAGGCCCAAAGGTTCCCTTTATCAGCTTGATGGAATCATGGTGGGGCTGTCAGAAAACTGCCATTTCCCGTCCGATAACGGTGAACATCGTGCCCTTGCTTAGATACACTTGCAATATAAATTATTAGGTTTATTATCAACATCTGCAGGCTTTTAGCGGTTTGCAATGAGCAAATAATAAAAAAGCAGTGAAATAGCTCAACACAAGTGGTTCCCCCCAATTCAGCTGAAACTGCAACTTATTCTGGCTTCTCCAGCCTCACTGTTATTCAGGCCTTTCATGGCAAGCGCCTTCAGGACTTAGTAGAGCAGCCTTTTGCTGCTATGACCTGCTGCAAACCCGTTGCTCGGTCCCAGCTCCTGCCAACCTAGCAGTTCAAAAGCACGTCAAGAGTGCAAGTAGATAAACAGGTACTGCTCTGGCAGGTTTCCGTGCGCTGCTCTGGTTTCGCCAGAAGCGGCTTGGTCATGCTGGCCACATGACTCAGAAAAACTGTCTGCAGACAAACGCTGGCTCCCTCAGCCTGAAAGAGAGATGAGCGCCGCAATCCCATAGTCGTTTGCAACTGGACTTAACTGTCAGGGGTCTTTTACCTTTTTACTTCTTACCTACCTAGGAAGTCTGTTGGTCTACCTAGCTCAGTATTGCCTACACTGACTGGCAGCAGCTCAGCAGGGTTTTGGACAGAGGGTCTTTCTCTCCCATCCCTACCTGGAGATGTTGGCAGGGATTGGACCAGAGGTCTCTTGCAAGCAAAGCAGGTGCCCTGCCACTGAGCTGTGCTCCTTTCCCTGTAAACAAAGCAAGATTCTAGTCCTCAATATTCTCAAATTAAATAGGAACATGGGGGAGCTGCCTCTTGGGTCCATTTGGCTCAGTATTGTCTACTCTCTGGGGTTTGGGGGAGGCAGTTGAGTTGGGAACTTGTCTATCGCCTGCATGCGAAGACGGGCTCTGGCTGATGGAGCGGATGAGACCAAGAGGGGGTCCAACGGCCAAGCAGGCGGTTTCTGCACGTGCCGTAGAGGGAAGCGAGCGGCAGGTGGGGCTTGTCCACCTGGGAAGGGAGCCCACCTAGGCCCTAAACCTGTGCCGCCTTGCGGCTACACTCATTTGTGAGAAGGGCTTTAGGAGTAAACCCCAATCATTAATGAGGGTGTAGGAGAGGTATAAAGATTTAATAGAACAAAAGACACCCTGGCGGTTATTACCAATTGAAGCTTCGTTACTCAAACTGCTCGGTAAAAAGGGGAAATGGCCAACATATAGAGATTTACTGAGAGATCAAGAAAGAAAATGGAAATTAAAAGATTATGAGGAAATTAAAGATCATTTTCAGAGTTGGTTGCGCTACAATTACATGAGATGTATAAGGAAGATAATAAGAAAGGGTTTAGCTATATAATTTCTAGATTTCAAAAGGAAGTTATAGCAGAAGAAGTGAAGCTGCTGAAGAAAGCATATAGTTTTCTGCTAGAATGGGGGGGGGGGAAGATGAGGAGGTCAAATCAGTCATGATCAAATGGGCACAAGATATAGGACATATATACAGAAAAAGAAGGTACTTTGTATCATATGTGGTGGGAATGTAGAAAAGTAAAAAAAAAAAGGAAATGTTATATAATGAATTGAAAAAAATGTTTAAAATGACATTTGTAAAAAAAAACAACAAGAAGCATTTTTGTTAGGGATTGTAGGACAAGACCTGCCAAGACAAATAAAGAACGTATTTATGTTTGCTACAACAGTGGCAAGAGTCTTGTTAGCACAAAGATGGAAGAATGAGGCAATCCCAACAAAAGAACAGTGGCAAGAAAAACTGATGAGTTATGCAGAATTGGCCAAGTTGACATATAAACCGTGTGACAAGGACAATCATGATTTCAAGGAAGAATGGGAACTTTTTACAAATTATTTAAAAAGACAACAAAATGATCTGGACTTCTTGGCAGGTTTTGAATAAACACCCACAAATTTATTGGTTGAATATATAATAGATAAGGCAATGATATGTACAATTTTACAATATGCAGAGAACAATATGTGCAAAGAAACCAGAGAGAGGAGCTGAGGGAAGTCTC